AGCAGAAACCTATCTTCGTGAATGCCAGTATGTCATTATTCCTTCTAGTGTCTAGTGCTAAGAGATCGTAGACAACCCGAGTCCAGAGGCTTCAACTCAAGCAGGCCGTGGCTCTGGAGTAGAAGCATCAGAATATCAACCAAAATACTAGCCCAATGAATGATATTTCCAAACCCAGCCAAATGGCATGCTTTAGATTTAGTCTCGGGCCTACCAACTTTGCGGGGAGTCCGTAACAAACCAACCCTATGTGCCAACCGAAAACCAAACCCCTCAATGCAGGAAGCCGATGTGCAGCTGAAGGCTGCTCGTTCCGAGCTCCAGGCCGCTTTGGACACCAAGGCTGGAACCTTTACGTAGGGTGGAATGTCGGAGTGGGTGGAAGCCGAACTACAGTTCAATGTTCGGTTACAGGAGAACAGCGAGACGGTCAGCCGATTGACTACGAGTTTGGGCTCAGCAATCGCTGGTTTCGAGCAGGCTGCTACGGTGATCAAAGGCCAGGCAAAGCCCAAGGCTAAGGCCAAGGCCTCCGCAAAGTGAAGACCCAGCGATGCCATGCTGCTCCATGACTAGTCTTAAGCTAGTGGGCTACTTCTGGTTCCAGGATCTAGGTCTCATAAGGTCTGTCGGGTGTAGCCTGCGGTGTTTAGAATCTTAGAAAGATATGTGCTGGGCAACTGGGGCCCTTCGCGACGCTGATTTTGACCCAAGCAGGGGCATGCTTGCGAACTAGTTCATGATTTCAAGCAAAGGCGCTACCGAGACATGTGGGAAATCCTGCATAAAGGCCTCGCCCGGTGCATGCTGTGTGCAGCTGTGACAAGGGAGACTTCCTTTCCCTAGGTGCGGAATCGGAGCAGTGTTTCACAGTCGCGATGCAGCAACACGCGGCGGTGGTGCAAAAAAACTATTTCTGCGGCTAGAGCTGCCACTCGATATCATGTCATCATATTATGCTTTAGAATCTTGCTGTTTGGAGGTGAAGAAGATGAGGACCAGGACAATGAGCAGAACGCAACGGTGCAGGAATTACTGGAAAGAATCGGTGATCGAGAGCCTCGGCAACTACTTAACTATTTCCCGAGCGGGTTCTTCTTTGCTAATCGATTCCGGCTCTTTGGGTTCCGGCTCTTTGGTATTCCTTGCTGCAGGGAGAAAGTGCCCGCATGGCAATGGAAAGTGCGGTGAATACTGCAAAAGCTCCTTGCCTGAACTTATAGTTTTTCGTTTCTGTGCCCCAAGCAAAGTTTAGGAGGTTTGACAGCATGTAGCTCGACCAGGAAAGCAAAGGGCACTGTTCCGAGAGAACCAAAAGGCTGGCAAAGTTTAGCAGCGAGAAGAATTCCTCGAGAGATTTTTACAGAGTGGTTCCCCTGCCCATGGCTGCTTAGCTGTCAGGATCCAGCAAATGTTCCAATCGAAGTTTTTGTGTCATGTATAATAAAGTCTTAGTGTTTAATATCGGAGAATAACACATCATGTTTGCAGGAACCAACGATGGTTACCGTTCCGGTAAAGCTGGACAACGATGATCCCGAAGCCGAAATCAAAAAAGGGTCTATGCAAATCCCACTGCTGTATCCTCATGAAGTTTTGCACTATGTGCACTCTGTGGTGAAGCTGACTGTTCATGACGAATCTGTTCGTAGCTATTGGCGGCGAGCTGCTGAGAACGGAGCGAGTTGGGCAACCGATCAACCAGATGACGGTGTGATCCCTGTTGGGATCTATGCTGACGAAACCAAGTATGGGTTACATGAGTCTCAGGAGAAAGTATTGGCCGTGTTTTTGAATTTGGTGCTGTTCAGACCAAAGAATATTCGACTCAGTCGTTTCTTGCTTTGCACCATCCGCTCCAAATTCTTGCTGCCTGGCACAGAAACATTGTATCCACTTTTTCACAGAATTGTATGGTCTATGGGATGGGCAAGCAAAGGCGTGTTCCCCACAGCAGGTTTCATGGGCAGCTCTTTATCTGAGAAACACGAAATGCAGGCTGGTCAAAGCTTGGGTGCGAAATTTCTGGTGACAGAGCTTCGGGGTGATTTGGCTTGGCACAAGTTGATCTGGGGCTTCGAAGATGGGTGGTCGTCAACTAGGGTTTGTTTCTTTTGCGAAGCCGTTGGCACTGGAAGCAGAAGATCCTTATACTACGACCACGTTGGGGAGAGAGCCTTGTGGCGAACTACAATATTCCGAGATACCTTGGAATGGCTCCTGGCAAAGTTGGACTTGAACTGTCTTTGTATCTTGCTTCAAAAGTACCACGACCTTTTGAAGCCATTCAACTTTGTCCTACCTCAGGTCCCTTGATTCTACTCCCCAATTTCAGCATCGACGTCCTTCGTACCTGCTCGATGCACAATGTCAACCTCGGCCTGTTGTTCACAGCAAACGGAAGCTCGTTGTGTCGTGGCATGCATAGATCAGTTTTGAGTCACTTTGTCATGAGTGTCGAAAACAAATATGTGGCATTAATAGTTGAGGTACACCCTGGCAAAGTCGGGATTTTATGGAGATCCCGATCTGGAATTGCAAATTCTGTTTAACAGAGCTCATGCAGACTTTAGGGCCTGGGCAAAGGAAAGACAGATTTATTCATACCAGCGCAACTTCAAGTATGGCCTGGAGTCTTTGCTATGGATATTTCAGGGATGCATTTAGGCAGTTTAAGCTTAGGTAGTTTTTGGTAAATTAAGAACCAGATATGTCTTATTTGTTTTGTGTTTTGGATGCGATCAGGTAATGAAAAAATCCGGAACCCTCCGGATTCCTGCGATGAGCTGCAAAGCCTTCAATGGTCGTATTGTCTTGGAGTACTTGGCTCACGTTTCTAGATTGGCGGCCACGCGTTCCGTGGCGACGGGGAGGAAGCGCACTTTTGGGATCTGGCTGGATGGAGAAGTTCGGGCTGGACGTCGGGCCTATCCGAACGATGAAAAGATTCCATTGCAAGCTGTTGCAATGAAACTCGGCCGCATATCTTCTGAGTTTCTCAATACATACAAAAAGAGACGAAGCTTTTCTGGTTTTGGACAGTTTTGTACGAATATTGACAGGACGGCAATGGCACGATGGTTTGGATTGACAGAACGATGCTCCCGCTTCCTTTCACAAGAAGAAGCCGACGCCATCTATGATGAAGGCATGCTATTCGTCACCACGCACCTGCAATTGACTAGAACTTCATGCAGGCGGATACATAAGAAATTCAATTTCGCAGTCCTATTGTTTTTGCATGCATACTGTCCCTGACAGGCAAGGCGAGCTCACCTGGGCCCTCAAACCGAAATTGCATACGTTCGAACATCAGCTGTTGGAGACAAAACGGACAAGCTGCTTGGACAATTAGTTTTGCGACGCTGTACTTCAATCAAGCGACACAGGGTTTCAATGAGCAGCCCAGGACAAAATTCGCGCTACCACCATTGCTACACGGATGAAGATGCTATGCGATGGGTGAAAGGCTTAGCTCGGAAAGCGAATCCGGCAAATTTCGAGGTGGCCCTGATGAAGATGAACCGCACACGATTCGAAAGTATGAAGAGACGAAAAGCGACACTCCTTGCAAGAGACACAGCGAAGTGCAGGGCCGACCGAGACAATGAAAGAAGCGCGGGAAAAGTTTTCAGCGCTGCATCGCCGTGAAGCCTGCTCCAACCCAGTAGTATTCAGGAAGGTTCTTGCGAGGATTGCAGTTGAATTGGGTGGGGGATTTTCGAGAAGGATCTTTCGAGGCTTTGGGTTCCTACATGGGCTCATATGGGCTCATCTGCACTGGAAGCCTCTCGCGGGCCATTCCAAAGCCACCAGTCAACTGCTAATTTATCCCAACAACTAGTGTAAACTATCCCCAAACCCCTGCAAAGCTGACAAGCAACTCCGTGCCACCCCCAAACACAAACATCCGAACTTGAAGCCCTAAAGCCGAGCTTGAACCCCCAAACCCTAAACCCAAAGGCCGAGCTTGAAAGTAAAGGCCCCGAGCCCGGACAAAGCCACACTTTAACGCTCCTGACAAAGGCTAGCCCGATTTTGAACCCTAAAGGCGTTTACGAGGACGCCAAAACCAAGCTTGCACTCAACAGACCTGAAACCACGATCCCCAATTCCGGAATCCAGGTGTTTAGGGCTTCAGCTTTATGGTTTTTTTGGTTTAATAGTGGGGACGAAAAAGCACTAACACACCCCAATGCGTGAGAGGGTGGGGCTGTTTTGGGGATCCGCGGTCTTATCGTGAAAGCCTTGGTTCCTAGGGTCTCTGGAGGGCTAGGGTATATATAGTTGTGTATGTACTTCTATATAATTTTATGGACGAATCTGTATGTGATGGTGTATATGTGCGTATATTTGTACCAACATATGCAACCAGGTATGGATGCTTGCTTTCATGTTTGCTTGGATGGCTCCATGCTCGTATGGACAGATGTAAGTAAGTATGCATGCATCGATGCATCGATGAATGAATCTATGCATGTGTGCACATGCATCGCGTTATGTCGCACTTGTCTGACTGCATGCGTGGTTCTTCATGTTTCCCCTTGGAGTATTCATGTATAGGACACTCTCAACCTCGCACTTGTTGCTTGTGGTGGGCGGTGTGGCAAATTGGCCGTTACTGCAAGCAGTCTTAAAACTAGAGTTCTAGAAGTTATGTAATGACCAACCAGAAGAGCAACAGCGCTTGAAGGCAGCTTCATGAACATCATATGCGCGAGTTGATTTCAGCAGAGCCCTGCAGGCTTTGCTTCCGGTGGGATTTTTTTTCAGATCGACTTCTCCAAGCAGGACAAACGTCATATCTTCGATCTGGAGCACCACGCGATTCTACCGAAACGTCTGTCCGTCTGTCCTTAGACCCCCCAAGTCATGTGGAAGTTTCCGAAAAGAGGGGACCCTAAATAGTACCCTAAATAGTAATTAGGATCCTTATTATAAGGACCCCAAAGTAAGGTACCCCTAATTTTCGGAAAATCCCATGTGCCCACGGGGCGCGCCTTATCCTTGGTCCTTGCATCTCGCGCATACAGGGGCGGGAGCCGGGAGGCGCTATGCCGCGCCCGGTCGATGGGCGGCAGCTTCGAGCGTCGAAGATGCTGAAGTGCGGGCTCGCTCCTGTCTCAGCCCTAGAGAGCCGAACACCATTACCTAAACCCCCCCAAGTAGGTCAAATAATGTCTCAATGCGCCTAAAAGGCTATTATTCTACATACTCTTGGGGTCCAGGTATGTCACTAGGAGTTATAAAGTCTTCCGTAAATTACAATAGGAAGACCCATCTACTGTTACGCTATTGTTAGTGTTGGGCTGTCTTACGGCCATGCATTGATACTTCTTTCGTGCAGATTGTTGGGGGCGGCAGCAGAGGCAGGAGAGAGTGGAATGGATGCGCAGGGTTTCAGAAAAGCACAGCGACAAGACATCAAAAGATTGAAAATAAGTTTTAATGGAGGGCAAGCAACTTCTCAAGTGGGGTAGTTCATGAGTGGGTTATTCTCGTGTCTGTGTATGTGTTTACCCATCTGGGCTAGCAAGTTAGCTTGTACCTATCTAACTACTATTTCTCTATCTATGTAGATATTCAGTCCACCTATCTAGTAAAAACTGACCTGATCTAATCTAACTTGGCCGAGTGAAACCTACAAATAGTCCAGCCTGTGCAAATCTAACTTCATCCATCTATGTATACACACATATACCTATATGTATGTGTATATATGTATGTATATATATATATATATATATACATATATATATTCATACACATACATAGTATAACATAATATTTGCCAATCCCCGGAAGCTCTGTGCATTCAGCTTCCAGGACGCGGTCTACAAGAAATCAGGTCTCGGCCATTGGGTTCAGGGCGTAGGGTTTAGGGACCTAGGCATCGGAGACCAGAATCCACTACTGAGGATTGTAAGCACCGTTCAGGCGAATGACCCCAACACACTATACCTTAACCAGCCAGAGCCCTAGAAGAACAACATTAGGTTGTGCCAGTTCTGGTTAAGACCAAGCACAATGTAAAGACCGTAGAAACTAGAATAGGCTTTGGGGGTATCTCACACTCGAAGTATGAATATGGAACCAATGGAATAGTATCATTAATTATTCAGGCTTCTATTTTTTTGCATCTTGGACCTTACTAGGCTTGCACGAGGACCGGATTCCTTGAAGTTAGCAGCGTCTGACTGCCTCGCTCCATCTGCATACCTCGAAGTTCCTCCTTGTTCTGTGTTGCTGTTGCGGCTAAAAAGGGTTTAGGCATTGGTTTAGGGCTTTAAGGGTTCATGGCTTCTTTTAGGGCTTTGGGGATTTCGGAGTGTGGGCTGAAGGTGAGGGGTCGAAGACGTTTAAGGGGTTCGTGGGTTCAATCGTATAGGGCCTAATTAGGGCTTGGGTTCAGGGTTTAGGGTTGAGGGTTGAGGGTTTAGGGTTTAGGCTTTAGGGTTTAGGGATCCCGAAGGACTCCGGGATACGTGACGTAGACTTAGAAGTCATGGGCTTGGTAAGAGTCGTAACAGCACGGTGCTTACATATTTGTTTTTGAAACTGGGCTTGGGGCTAGCCAGGTACTTACATATCTAAACCGAATATCCCCTAAACCCTAAACCCTAATCCCTAAACCTAAACCTTAAGCCCTAATCCCTAAACCTTAAACCCTAAACATCCCTAAACCCTAACCCCTATAGCATCCTTAACCAGCAATTCGCAGCTTCTTCAGCCTAAAGGCTGCCCTTTGTCTTCGACAAAGGGCGATCCTTAAGCCAAACTGCGGCGAACAGCAGATACGGCTTGGCTGTTTCCCCTAGCAGATACGGCTTGGTTTAGGGTTTGGGGTTTACGGTTTTCAGGGTGGAAGGTCTCATGGTGTGGCCTGACGAACAAAAGAAACCCGAAATCTTCGGGTCCGGGGAAACCTGATCCTTTACCCCGGCTATTCTTGTTTGAGGTGATGAGTTGAGGGGTACGGCTTCGGGCTTGCGGGGCTCTGGAGCCAGATATATATGATCCGAAATCGGAATCGCCTGCTTTCCTACCAAAGGGCGGCAACACTGAGAGACGGAATTGGGTAGATGTGCTGCCAGGCGAAATAAGAAGCCGACTATCTACACCCAATCGCCTTTTTGCTGTAGTTGCGTCCACGCTAGATGTCTCGAGGTAGTTCCCTTTGTTGGGAGAGTCTTGCTGGTTGCCAGGCGGAGGCAAAATATATAGTAAGGGAACTACCTTGTGAGCTGCCAGCACCCACCCGGCAGCTTGAGCAAAGAGGTACGGCTTAGCCGTATGCTCATCTGATCAACAGCCAGAGTCCGGCGCTTTCTAAATCCTAAGAACCATGAGGCTTGCAGTCTTTATTGCTAGCACACCCACAATATATCATCCCCCCTAGGTGGAACGATTGGTAGTTGCAGGGTCAAGGTTCAAAAGCTGAGGATGTAGGGCAGGGGGTGTTAGAGGAACTTCACGATTCTAAGTTCCGTACAGTAGCATGAGCTCAACAGCTCTGCAAGGTGCCTTTGGCAACTTAAGACTTCGGCGCCTAAACCCGAAACCGTAAACCCTAAACCCAGGCGCCTTACTAGAGCCGCCATTATGAATTGAAATCCTGCTCAAGCAAGAGGTCTGCATCAAACCTCAACGCCGAAAACTCTAAATCCAAAATCCCTATATGATAAACCTTGAAGCCCTAGACCCTGAACCCCAAAACCCAAAGCCTATAAAACCACATAAAACCCAAAACCGGATCCTTAAACCCCAAGCCCTAACCGCCTAAGCCGCGATCGAAACCCTCAAACATTCCCTAATCCCCAGACCTAGACCCCTCAACACATTCCTTAAACCCTCAACCCTATACCCTAAACCCTCAACCGACTCCAGCTTTCTGGAGGGTGATCCTTCGGCTCTTCATTCTGTAGAGCTCAGGACCTACTTAGGAGACCGGGGAGCCTCGCAAGAGTAATTAAGTAGGATTTTGGGCTCAGGGGTGGTTAGGGGTTTACGGGTTAGGGGTTAGGGGTTTTTTGACACTCACACTCGGACAAAGCCTGGCAAGGTCTGTAGCAATCCTGGACATTCGTTAGCGGTTAGGGGTTTAGGGTTTAGGGGTTTAGGGGTTTAGGGGTTAGGGGTTGGGGGTTTAGGGGTTTAGGGTTTCGACGCGCGCGCTTGCTCACAGCAGGCAAGGAAGCGGTTCAGGCGTTTATGGGGGGGAGGAGTCTGGGTAGACCTCTGAATCGGATTTAGGGATTGGGGGTGAGGGCTTTAGGGGTTTGGGGTTTTGGATGGTGTATACGGGTTGGAATGGTCTGCGGGTCCATGGACTAAGGGGTCTAAGGGCTTCGCGATGCCTGGCATTGCAAAGCTTTGCGTCCAAAGTCCCCACGGATACTCCCGATAGACTGTAGTGTGACACGTCGTGCAGGAAGTGGACCCCTGACGAATAGACCCCTGTCCCACAGTATGGAATAGGGATCCTAATATCGAGGACTGTTATATACCCGTTAGGATAGGGCCAATACTTCTCAAGGACCCTTGTGGTAGCGAGGGTACTAGCCAGGGGTCTACATGGGAGTTTCCGAAAATAGGGGACCCTAATATGGTACGATCCTTTTATAAGGACCCGAAAATAAGGTACCCATATTTTCGGAAACTCCCACATTAATCGTTGAATTCAGGACTTGCATTCAGTCGAAGCGGAAGGATCCTGCACAGCACGGCTGGAGCTTCCTAGGCTTTCGGGTCCAGGGCTTACCTGTGGCCCTAAAGACCTACCGTTTCAAGGAACTATATATAGAAATCGTAATAAGGAACCCTGAAAGGGTAGGTAGGTCTTTCCGGATACAGGTAGGGTTTAGGGGTGTAAGGTCTAAGCGTCAGGGACATGAAGAAGGTCTATGCGCAGAAATCAGGACACATGTTAAAGAACAGGGGATACCCTGTACCGATATTCTTTTGGGTCGTTTCCATCTTCAAGCAGGTTGCGTACTCTAGGTCCAGGTGCAGAATGGTCTCGCCTGCAGGAACGGGCGGATGGATGGTATTCACTCGGTGCAATATCGAATCACCTACGTACGCTGTGAGTGGATCAAGAAAGCAAGAGACTCCGGAGTATCAACCATCCAACATCTTGAACCAGGTACATGTGAGCCTCATGCTCAATCGAGCATGTCTGAATGCTCCGGCTGAGCTCTCACCCCAAGACGTTTTGCAAGCCCTATCCAACAATCCTCGACCAACGAAAGCTAAACCCAAAGCCCTTCGCTGCAAAACTTTATCCGAAGAGCCTGGACGAAAATCCCCGTATCCAATCTCTAAAACTTAAACCTTTCCCTCAAAGGGGCCCCTGCCGTGGAACATCCACGTCCAAACTATGCCTGCGAGAGCGAAGGTCTGGGTTCCCGGGCTTTATGGGTTTGGGCTGAAGCTCAGGGGGTTTGGGAATTGTGGATGTTGAAGCTTCGGGCCTAGAAGTGTAGGCTTGGTCAACATTTGCGTGGTTGTCAAAATTGTGGCCCCTTTTTGGGGAACCTAAATATTAGGTGCCGTTTTACAATAGGGACCCCAAAACCACGTGCACCAATGAGTGCTTCATGCAAACGACCGACTGATGTCCGTTAATAATAGGGACCCAAAAAGGGACCCTAATTTTGCTTCAGCGCCTCCAGGCCCGAGTTTGTGCCTCTCTCTGTCATGTTCCCCGCGCATACATGCACGGACTCGAAGGGTCCATGTACCCATATAGCATATACTTTGAGCCCAATGTACCGATATGGGAGTACTTTAAGGCCAATGTAGATACTACATGAGTACATGGAGCCTCAGGGGGATGGTCCGGTTGCTGGTCATGATACCGAACAGCCATCCGTTCTTCGTGGCAATTCGTAACCCTGAGAATAAGAACAAGAAGGAGAGGGGGAGGGATATGGTCAAGCAGACAAACAGGGCAAACAACAATTTCGCGAAACTACAATCAGACCTAAGATAGTTGAGTAAAGGGTCATAAGACTTGCAGGAGACGCGGGGTTGGACTTTGTCGATGCTATCTTGTACTACATTATACTATCATCATAACGGTACAGCCCTAACATACCAAAGCATACTATAACCTACCATAGAATCCGCAACTATACCATAACATACTATATAAGAAGAGGGACCTGCGCTGATGGGAGGCTTGCCTTCTCGGACCACTCGCTGTTCGACGTTGGAGAGGGCTGTCCTTGGATGCTGCTCGGGGATTTCTGCAGTTCTGGGCTTTTTGGGTCAGGTTTACCTGGACCCCAAACGTATCTAGAACAATAGCCTTTTATGGGTAATGGGGCATTATTTAACCTACTTTGGGGGTTTAGGCAGGGATTCAGGGTTCAGGGGTTTAGGGCCTAAGGGTTGAGTTGGAACAGTGCAACTCTGAAGTCATGAAACATATCCTGGTTTTAGGTGGGTTTTAGAGTGTTGGGCTTTGGGGCTCTAGGGTGAGGGTTTTGAAAGCACAAGCGGTGAAGTTTAAGGGTTTCGGGGCTGTCTGGTCTACTGCATGGCTCGTGTAACACCGCATGGCCGTCTGCCTGATGTCGCCAACTGACCACACAGATACAAACACACGCACACACACACAAACTCAGACAGATAGATCAAATTTTTGATCGATAGATCGATGGATAGATGTGTGGATGGATAGATAGACAGATAGACACGCACGGCCGCCAAAGCCTAAACTTAAACTCCTAAATCCTAACTGTAGCCCACAAGCCCTTAACGAAAAGGAGCTTTGCCAAGCTTCCTGCCGTGGGGTCCCCCTCCGCGGTCTCCTCCCCGCTTTCAAAGGGCTCCTCATACCTGGATGGGTTTGGCAGATATGGTTTGCATACTGGTCCTGCAGAACTCAGGGGCCTGAGGGGCGGTAGGAATTAGGGCGTGGCTAGACCTAAGAGTAACCTAGGAATAAAAAAGGTGCCCTTTTTGGTTTAAAGTTGTAAGAATTTCTGGCCTCTAGACCTTGGATTTCATCAAATATTTATTTTGTCATTTATTTGTCATTTTTTTGTCATTTGGTGGTTTTTCCGTTTGTCATTTTCTAGTCGTTTCTGTCATTCGCCCTTCCTCCCTCTGCGCCCCACGCCCACGGAAATTACAAAAAAATGACGCCAAAATGACAAAAAACGACGCCAATGCCAAACAAATGCTTCCAAAATGACAAAAAAATGACTCCAAAATGACAAAACAATGACTCCAAAATGACAACAAAATGACAATGCCTCGGGAAATGTGCAAATTTCGGTTTGGTGCCCTGCCCCACCCTTCCTCCCTCCCTCCGCGCCCCACCAAAATTACAAAAAACGACGCCAATGCCAACCAAATGCTTCCGAAATGACCAAGAAATGGCTCCAAAATGACAAAAAATTGACAATGCCTCGGGAAATGTGCAAATTTCGGTTTGGTGCCCTGCCCCACCCTTCCTCCCTCCCTCCGCGCCCCACCCAAATTACAAAAAACGACGCCAATGCCAAACAAATGCTTCCAAAATGACAAAAAAAAATGACTCCAAAATGACAAAAAATGACTCCAAAATGACAAAAAAATGACACCAAAATGACAACAAAATGACAATGCCTCGGGAAATGTGCAAATTCCGGTTTGGCGGCCTGCCCTACCCTCCCTCCCTCCGCGCCCCAACAAATTGACACAAAAACGACACCAAAATGACAAAAAAATGACACCAAAATGACAGTGTTAACGTTAACCAAATCCAGAATGACAAAAAAATGACAATCCCAATGACACAAAAACGACAAGAGCAAATGACAAAAAAAATACAAATAAATGACAAAATTAATTCTGGAACCCACCTCAAGCTTTGCTGCAGAAATTCTTACAAGTTTAAAGGGGGTTATAAGGGAACCTAAACCCTAAAACAGGGAATAAGGGCCTACTCTGGGTCCTAGGTGGGGTGCAGGGCTGCTGTTCTTCTTGATTGTCTGAAGCTTCACAAGCCTGCGACTCTGCACGCTTGTACTCTTTGGCCATGCCCAGTAGAAACATCCTCAACCGTTTCCCTAAAATCCCAGAGTTACGATCGCCCTAAAGTTCTGAAACATGCCATTGCACCGCTCAGCAACTCGATGTTCTGAAACTGAAGTCCCTAAACCGTAAACCCGATAACCCCTAAACCCTAAACCCGATAACCCCTACACCCTAAACCCTATAACCCCTAAACCCCCTCAGAGACAGGGAGCTCGTCATAAGCGGATTCGGAAGCTCCGGTCGTCCTGATTCACGAATCATGCAGCTTAACGTTCATTTTTTTGTTAAGGGCCTCTTTCTATCCCCAGCTTAACTGTTCCCGGGCTAGGGTTCGGTGGTTTCTAATTGGGTCTAGGGCTTTGGGGTTGGGGTTTACGGTATCCGTGCTTTTCCTGCTTGCATGCCGTGTGAAACGTGAGCTGAAAGCAATCCCTGATGGTTGTAACCCTGCCTGCTCCATTCCCGATCTAGATCCCGAGACCCCAAAGCCATAAATCCTGGAATCTTTGTAAGCGTTAAGGCGTTAACCCTACAGCTGTGTCTCTGAATTCCAAACTGGAGACAGCCGGGCGGCGGTGAAGCACCACTTCGGACCGTTGTGGGAGCGGTGGCCAGGTCGTCGTCGCTCCCATCTGTAACAAGGGACATGGTTTTGAATTCAGGGTTTAGGGCTTTGGCTTTTGGACTTAGGCTCAAGGCTTAGGACTCTGGTTTGAAGTTCAGGGTCCTCTCTGTTTCCGGCCGTGGATAAACAGATGATCTAGACAAGCTCAGGATCAAATGGGGCTTCCAACTTCCAAGATAGAATCAAGGGGTCATGGTTATAAGACTCGCTGGGTTTAGAGGAACTCCTAAGCCCTAAGCCCCACACCCCTAAACCATCCTATACTCCATAACCCCAAACCCACGCACCCAAAACCACAAAACCCCGAGGGTTGACAGGTTGGCCGCGAGTTGGCTGTCCGGGCTTCCGGCCGTCGTTCGCTGGGTCTTCTGCAACGCCGGCAGCCTTGGGCACAGGAAGCAAGGGAAGATACCACTCCAAAAGGGCCCTGGGGGCTGTTGAAGTGGATACTTCCCCTTCCCCAAAGCATAATCGTTATGTTACTCCTAATATAGAATCCAGGGTTAAGGCTTTTCTGCGCAACTACTTCTAGGAAAATCTACACGCCGTACATCCCAACTCCTTATCCGGAATTCCTTGAAAGAAGTCTCCTCACCGATCTGTGTAATTTTTTCTGCATTGGGGGACAGTTTGAGAAGGACGACTCCGAAAGAAGTGACTCTGTCAAAGATGCTAACAAGGCCAGAAGACAAAAACGGAATGTTATGGGGCCTCGTAAGGATCTGAAAGACTTTCCGGGGCTTGGCTTTAACCGGACTTGTTAACCGTTCTCGAAATCGAAAAACAATGGCGGCCAAAGTCTAAGCCCTTTTTGGCTCGATTTCCATCATCAACAAGCTAGCGAATACCATTTCCATTTTCTAACCATGCCCCACCCCCTAGCACCCAAAACCATAACAACCTATACCTCAACCCTAACACCACTCAAGACCCATAGGTAGAACCCTAGGAAATACGCACCTGAAGACCCAAAATCACAACAACCTATACCCCAATGCCCACAAAATAGAACCACTAAAAGACCCATACGCCACCATATAGAAAAACCCTAACCTCAAACCCATACACCAACACCTCCATAGAAAAAGCCGATAGTATCAACCCGAAATCCCTAACCCTAGAAAATGGAAATGGTATTCTCCAATAAAATAACAATAATAGGAATAAGGTTTAGGTATAAGGTAGTCGCCAATGGAATCATATTATGGTTGTTTATTGCTCTCGTTGTTTCTCTTCCTTCCTTAATCTTTGGTATTTTTTCGTCGCTTTTTGTGTTCTTCAATTTGCTCTCGTATGCTTTCTATTTCATCAATAATCATTTGGAGCCTAGTGGCGTAGTGAACATTTGTTATTATTTCGGATATTTTCGTCTCTGTAAATCTACTTCTATCGGCTTCATTATGGGCAGTGTTAGATGCTTCTGACCGGAACTTGTCTGACCTCTTCGCTCATTCAAGTAACAAATCATTTATATCATCAATCTTGTCAATCATAAAGTCAAGAATTTCAACCTGTAAATTATCGCTCATTCTTGTCTTAATATATACGGTTGTTATTTATTTAAGTGTTTCTCTTTAGAAATTTTTCTTAACATTAACCAATTATAATATCATAGTGAAATAGTATAACTATTGTTTAAGGCATAAATGTCCACGACCCCACGCCATCCCAGCTTGATTGAATTTGTTGTTTCATTTTATAGTACATTTCACGTTGTTCAAATTTGGCTTTGGCATGTGTATTAGTCAAAATGTTAAGACTTCAGCAAAAGCAAATGCGTTACATTCCATCGCTTGAACACCACCTAATCTATCAATTTCATCACCATTCTTTTTTATAGGTTCAACATCATCAATACATTCATAAATTTCTTGTAAGTATTTATGGGTCTCATGTCTATATTCACCGTTCATCAATAAATAGTGAAATTTCAGTTCCATATCACCTTTGTTCTTCCACTTTTGAGCTTTATGTAACATAGAGTCTTTCATAATCTCATAAGGTGGATACGAGTTTTTCTTAACGAATGCCTTAGTTTTCTTCACGTCTTGTTCGTCCACTTCCCTGTTAATATATATATATATATATATATATATGTAGTTGTTATTTCTATAAGTGCTTTTCTTCAGAAATTCTTTTCTTATGACTTATTAACGGGAATTTCAATAATTATTCTGTCCTTATGCTTACCGAATAGCACCAAATAATCTTCTGGAAGCTCATCATTCATCAGCAACTGATGGACGTGATTGAATACTGTATCAATATCAGGTTCGGGTTTCTCGGGAACCCTTTTCTGCTTTTCGTGATCTGCCTTAACCTCTGCTTGTAATTTGTCGTCTAGTTTGCCTTCTTTCCTTAAACTACCTAACTTCCTTAAATAATCGTTCATCAATACATTTAGTTCCGAGTTCGGATGTAAGACACAATGGAAATGGGCATCCCAGTTTTCGTGTTTTATCTTATGTCAGCATTCTTCGCTTATTTGGCACCCCTTTGCTCTCTCTTCTCTTCGTGCCTGATTGTATTCCTTCTGGTTTTTCTTGTAGCATTTTCTTTTCGCTTCACGGCACCTGTTACAAGTCTTAAACCTGTCAAACTCTTCAACATCTTTAATCGCACAACAAGATTTACACACTCGCTTTTCCATCTTACTATATTCAAAAGTCTAGTCTTTAGGCACGGTTAGACTGCTAAAACAAACATTCTAATCATTGAATTTAATCAGTCCAAAATAAAAATAAACTTAACCGCTTTTACCCTGAACTAGATGTAGGAGATGAAGTTAAGACATTTAGGAAGAGAAAACCAAATGAAAAAGAGAGGGTGAGCAACTGGTCACGGAAGGTCTATACAATAGAAAATATTGAAAACAAATTGGGTCAACATGATTACAGAGTTGAAGGTAATCGTAGCAGTATTTGAGATTTGAAGTTCTGAAGGTTTGAGGGCAGGCACTCTCTATTTTATTCACGATCAGCGGTTGGGCACATGACTCTTCCCGTCAAACTTGTCTCCAAAGCAGACAAGCTGACTATCTGTGCCCTCTGCGCAGCACAAGTATGGCAATGACCCACTAAACTGGTGCCAAAAGAGCTGGTGCGTCACACTGACCATTCCCATTGTATCCAAAGCAAACGAGCTGACCATCTGTCCGCATGGCACAAGTATGAGAATGGCCTGCTGAGACTGCCAAAACTGGTCCCAGATCTGCTGGGACGTCACACCGCCCAGCACTGTTGTATCCAAAGCAGACGAGCTGACCATCTGTCCGCACGGCGCATGTATGAAAACTGCCTGCTGAGACTGCCAAAACTGGTCCCAGATCTGCGGGGTCGTCACACTGCCCATCATCGTTGTATCCAAAGCAGACGAGCTGACCATCTGTCCGCATGGCACAAGTATGAGAATTGCCTGCTGAGACTGCCAAAACTGGTCCCAGATCTGGGACGTCACACTGCCCAGCACCGTTGTATCCAAAGCAGACGAGCTGACCATCTGTCCGCACGGCGCATGTATGTAAATTGCCTGCTGAGACTGCCAGAACTGGTCCCAAATCTGCTGGGATTTCACACTGCCCATCACCGTTGTCTCCAAAGCAGACGAGCTGACCATCTGTCCGCATGGCACAAGTATGAGAAGTGCCTGCTGAGACTGCCAGAACTGGTCCCAAATCTGCTGGGACGTCACACTGCCCAGCACTGTTGTATCCAAAGCAGACGAGCTGACCATCTGTCCGCACGGCGCATGTATGAAAAATGCCTGCTGAGACTGCCAGAACTGGTCCCAAATCTGCTGGGACGTCACACTGCCCATCACCGTTGTCTCCACAGCAAACGAGCTGATCATCTGACCGCACTACGCAAGTTTGAGCATTTGCAGCTAAGCGTGCCAAAACTGGTCCCAAAACTGTCACTGTTGTATTCAAAGCAGACGAGCTGACCATCTGCCCCATTGCGCATGTATGAAGAGCTGAGACTGCCGAAACTGGTCCGAAATCTGCCTCGCAAACCGCGCTGCACATGTCTGCCGAAGACTTTCCTCACCACACAACTGCTGGAAACTCGAACATTTCCGGAACGTGGTGAGAATGCGCAAGTCCGAGTCCGTCTGCTCTTTTTGCTTGGCCCCACGAAACGTGACTGACCCTGTGTGGAAACGCACCAGGGAGCCAGGATGGACCGCAAGAAAAGACTGGAAAAAGGCGCCTTGTGTGCCCAAAAGAACCAGGCAAACGCCAGGCCAACTTTCATGGCCGTTGAGAGATGGATGAGGAATGCTCCAGTGAGGGTGCGGTTGAAGCTGAAAACGGAATTAGACGAGTAGCTCGTGCTATGCTGCAAGTATCGTTCTCGGCGGTTCGACCTGAGCTTTAAACCTTACTCCTACTCTGGATATCTTGTTTGAGATCACGATTTCCATTTTCTAGGTTAGGGATATTCCGGTTGGGAATATGGGTGTTTCTATGGGGGTGTGGGGGTGTGCACGGTTAGAAAATGGAAATGGTCATTGCTAACTCAACAACCATTGCTCCATACTTAAATTACTAGGCTATTGCTTAGGCAACTGGAGCCCCACGGCAAGGTTTAGTTTTCCCCGACATTGACTGTGGATGCCCCTTGAAGCCTAGCGGAAGTCCTATGAATCCCAGGAAGATCCTAGGGATGATTTGAACAGTAATATATTGGGGCCTTACTAATTAGTGGATTTGGGGGCCCATTATACTATAAGTATAATAAGGAAACCCAAGAGTAGTATTGGTAAGTATTTAAGCCCGCTAGTACATTCCTTGGACAAAAGTCAGATTATATTCTTTGATCAGCCCCAAACCCTAAGAAAACCACGGAAGCCTGAGCCTCAAGTACACTAGTGAAGGGGCACCCTTGTCGAGATCCTACTGCTGGGCGCATGCCCTCAATAAACTCCTCACCACCCCAACATTAGGTTTCGAGTTTGGGAAATCCTTACCTAGAAGAAGGGATACGGAAATCTATGAACCCATTAACCGTAAAACACTACTCGGGATCCCGATTTAACAAAGGAAGGTATCTAGCGGCCTATGAACCCCATAGGCCCATCCAGAAGCCCTAATGCTCTGAAACTTTGCCCTCAAGAAAGCAAATTGCCTAAATCCTAACCCCGAAGCCCCAAAACCAGAAACCTAAACCGTCAACAAATCAAACTCGGAGAACTGGCCTGAATCCTACTGATTTATGGACCGAAATATCTGTTTAGAGTTTACAGTGTCTGGAACTAGCCTTTTCCCTAAACCCTAAACCCGGTATCCGAGGTCCGGGTTCCCCCTGGTAAGTCTCTTGCTGCATCGGGAGCAGTTCAGAGGTTCCGGCGATGCATCCCAAAGCCCTTCTCTGTTTGCTAGGGCACCACATACTGAACCTATGGTCCTCATACCACTATGGGCTATTAGACCCTATGGGTACCTTAATCTACCCTTAATAGTGTCCTAATAGGGATCTTTAGGGTCTAATGGCTCATAGTGGTAAAGCCCTGATCGAGATAGACTTTCGGGCGGAATCGAACGGCATGAGCGAAAGTTTCAGAAACGGGCCTGCCGTTCCTGAGGGCCATCCTCCTCCTCCGCCTGCTCCTGCAGGAATTGGTCTTAGCTTCGTGAGATTCTCTTGGGTGTTCAGCATTGCCGTCCGGATGCCCCGAAAGTAAAAGTTTGGCAACGAGGCCTACTACTCAGATATCAGCAACGAGAAATACAAGCAGCTAAGAAGAATCAATGTCGGTAGCCGCCGACACGGCTGCTACTACCGGTCACGTTGCTACCAGCAAGTGATCATAGCCGCCCATGTTAGGGTCTATTGAGGGTTTAGGGTCAAACCCTAAAGGACCCGAAACCCTTAAGTATCCCCTAAACCCTTTTTTGCCACTGGTCTTGGGGCTAGCCAGATCCTTGCATCGCGGCCCTTCGTGTTCACCCGACTGTGTGCAGGTGCATTACTCAGCCAAAGAACCCTGAACCCTAAACCCTTAAACCCTAAACCCTAAAACCCTGAACCCTTAAAACCCTGAACCCTAAACCCTTAACCCCTAGACCCTTAAACCCTAAAACCCTAAACCCTTTAACCCTAAACCCGGAAACCCTAAGACCTGAAACCGAAACCCCAAAACAATAAACCCCAAACCCTGAACCTGCTGCTTTCGGGAATTCAAAACAAAACCGAAGCTTTCGGCTCCACCGCCTCGAAGTCGTCGTCGAAGTCTTCGTCGTAGTGATCCGAGGTCACGGTCGCCTTCGTCTCCATGAGGCGGTTCAGGGTTTAGGGGTTTAGGGTTTAGGCTATTTTCTATACCCCCCTAAACCCTAAACCCTGTATAGAACCCGTATAGCTCCCTTTAAGGAACCCTTAGAGGATGCCTTTAAGGTACCCCTAATTTTCGGAAACCCTCAAATGTAGACATGAAGGGTTGATAGGAGGAGGCCATGCTTGCGCGCTCTGTGCAGTCGGGCTCTCGTCCCCGCTCGCGGATCGCGCCGAGGTCTGAGAGTCATATAGGGTTCCCTTAATAGGGTTTAGGGTTTAGTTTAGGGTTCCCTTAACCCCACGTGACCTACCTTTTTAGGGACTTATTTAGGGGGGCCCTAAAAAGGTAGGTTCCGTAGGGTCCAGGTCATGGTTACCTAAACCCCCCAAAAGTGGGTAAAACAATGGCCCAATACTCATATTATTCTACATACTTTTGGCGTCCAGGTAAGGGTTCAGGGTTCGAGATTTAGGGCAGTAGAACGGTTTAGGAGAACTGGTACATTGGTTCTGAAGAGCTTTGAAAGTATCTTTGGAGCTTCTGTTTGGTTGAGTTGCAATCGGGCTGTCGGGCCCAAAACTTGCAAACCCCGGCCGAGGGTGAGCCAGAAATTCAGGGTGTCTAAGGCTAAATTCAGGGTTATATAAGGGTTTAAGGGTTAACAATTACGGTTGGGTTTAGGACTCTAGGTATTCGGGGTGTTAGGGTGTAGGGTAACTTGTATGATTTGACATTTCACTTAGTGCTGCGCCGAGTCCTTACCCTCCAGCGTCACACCAAGACCCGAACCCGACTTGTTCAGACCCTGTTCCTGGTATCTAAGCCCAAAAGCTTCCCCCTATTCTTCCGGGGACCCTTAAAGATCCCTCGAAGGAACCCTTAAAGATCCCTTAAATGAATCCTTGAGGTAACCCTGAACCTCTGAACTCCGTTTGCAACAGGCTTTCCACTTCGCCCGGAGTTGGAGCAAGCGGCCCTAGCAGCTCCGAGCTCCTAAATCCGACACTCCTAAACCTGCCCTGAACGCAACGACGCATCACTTTTGTCTTAGTTTGTTACGTACATCTCACACAATTGCTAATTGTTGTTTATTGTTACGAGTGTGCTATGGTGGGCAGGTAAAATTGTATACGTCATTATTATTGCTACCGATATACTATAGTATTGATATTCCGAATGCGAGTGCGCTTGTTCATAATGTGCTACCGAAGGCTTGTTTTCTCGAAGCAAAAAGCTAGTGTGCCTCCGCGAGTCGGAGGTTATGAGCCCAACGCTCTCCTCCTAAGTGAGGCTGGTAAGTCGTTGGTGAGCTCCGATGGACGCCAGTGAGGCAGCCCCGCGAGAGGTCCCGCCGGAGGATGGGGGCGCGCATGACGCTGATGACAACGGGGGCTTGCCGGCGGTGGAACAGGCCATGGAGGAGGGAGACACGCGGCTCATGGGGGCCAGAGTTGATGATGAAGTTCGAGAACCTGGCTATGATGCGGCAGAGCCGTTAGGGCAGCAGGGTGAGGCGCACGGAAGCCAGGGAAATCACGGTGAGACCCAGGAGCCGTCACAGGTACCTGCGGTCTCATCCTCTGATCGGCAGCGACCTGTGCCTGCTGCTCTAACTGAGGGCGTGCGAGAAGCGGGAGAGACTGTGGCACCTCTTCAGAGTGAAGAACGAGCTGTCTCTGTGGAGCGACGAAGTGAAGAAGTGGGCCAAGTGGCGCGAAGCTTGGCCTTTATGACCAATCTGGTCACGACTTTGGTTGGCCGTATGGATCGTGTGGAACAGAATCAGTCTCGAGGTGGATCGAGCGCGTCGATGAGGAGGACAACGGCAACGGAAGGGAGAATGGAGACGCCCATGGGAGGAACCCCCGAAGCTGGAAGTCTAGGATATGTGGACATGGAGCGGCTGAACGCCCAGTTGGGGATGATGCAGCTGGCTGGGAGAGATCCAGGAGAAGGGTTGCCAGATCGGCCGTTGGCCTCTCTGGACCGAATCATGACTGGAACTTTCAGCTCGGACGACAGTGAGACAGCCAGGCTGAGGGCGTCGCAGAGCCGTGCTACTCCTGGGGCGCTTTTGGGGCCTTTGGCTATGCCTACGGGACCTTTGGTGCTGCATGGGCACCCGGGGATGATTTCAGAGGTGTCAGCCTTGGCGCCGCCACCGGGAATGCCGCAGGGATCTTCACAAATTATGGTGCAGTTTCCGAGTACGACTCAGGGATCTTCGCAAAGTGGTGTGCAGTTTCCGTGTATGCATCAGGGATCCTCTCAGACAGCTATGCCCCTTCCGTATATGCCTCAGGGATCCTCTCAGACGGGTATGCCTCCTCTGTATATGCCTCAGAGCTCTTCTCAGATCAGTGCGCCGCTCCCGAGTATGCCGCAGGGATCTTCTCAGACCGCGGTGCAGTCTTTGCCTATCCCTCAGGAATCCTCGCAGGTGAGTATGCAGCTTCCGACTATGTCTCCGGAGGCTTTGACGTCGAGTGGGCCGCTGCCAAGTATGCCTCAGGGATCTCCTCCGACGGGATTGCAGGGGTCAGGTTCGACTAGTCTGCCGTTTCCGAGTATGCCTCAGGGGTCTTCTCAGACGAGTGTGCAGCCTTTGACAATGTCTCCGGAGGGCCCCGACTCAACCCAGCTATGCCCAGGTCCTTCGTTTGGATCGTCGGCGCCACTGACTCAGGATGTCGGGCCTGGACAACCTGAACCCTCTTTTCCAGGCGCGTCTCCAGGGGATCTTCAGCTTTTGGCGAGGTTGTCTGCGCAGTTTGCGGAGTCGGGATCTACAGTGGCTACTGCGGAAAGGATGTTGCGGGAAAGTTCGATGGCTTTGGAGGCGGGAAGGCTTTCGCAGACTGCGGTGGAGCAGGCTGTGAGGGAAGGAGGTGGACCGCCAGTTTCGGCGGGAATGACTTTGGATGCTCCGGCTACAGGATGGGTCCATGTGAACGGGGCGTGGCTACCCTACTACATGCTGCAAAGTCAGATGGTGATTCCTCAGGGAGCTGGAGGTCGAAGTGGCAATGCGGTTAGTGGCGAGGGTGGAGTGAATGGTTCGCTTCCAAATGTCGGGATCGGACCTTCGATGTCGGCTCCGCCACCGCCTCCGCCTCCGCCCAGGTCTCCGTCTACTCCGGCTCGAAGGCCTCGTCAAGGGGATAATTCCACTCCTGGAGGCACTCCGGTTCCGCCTCCGCCTCCAACACCGGCGACTGTGGCGAGCCCTCCTGCGGTGTTTGCGGGGAGTTCGGAAGTGGAGGAGCCGAGCAAACTGGTGACGCGACTTCCGATGTTGGCGGCGACTAAGGGCCAGGACGCTGCAGTGGTGGCTGGGGACTGGCTGGCGCAGCTGGAACCAAGCATGTCGAGCCTGAGCAGTTCGGCGGCCTCGTGGTGGCAGGCCTTGATGGAGAGGGTTAGAGTGCTCTACACGAGATGGTTGGAGTCGACCCCCATCCTGAGGCTCCAGATCCGTCAGGAAGTGCTGGCGCAGAGACCACCCATCGACAAGTACCAGAGAGTGGAGCAGCGAGCATCTATGTTGCTGCTGGACAGTTTGCCGGAGGACTTGCGGGCGGAAGTTGTGAGCGTGAGGGCGGTGACGGTGGAGGCGATGATTTTCTTGGTCCACTGCTCCTTCCAACCCGGCGGCTCGGCCGAGAAGGCGTATTTGCTCCAGTTCTTGACGGCGCCGGAGTCCGGCAACTCTGTGGACTCGGCCTTGTCCCTGGCCCGGAAGTGGGTGCGGCTTTTGAGGCGTGGCAAAGAGCTCCAGGTTGTGTTGCCAGACCCGAGTCTCCTTTGTCGTGGTTTGGACAAGCTTCATGGGGGAGTTTTCGCGGGCAACAAACACCCTAGTGCGGCCTTTCGCATAGCCAGCTTCAAATTGGAACGTCAGTTGGACTACAAGGCGATGGCTAAGGACGTTGAGGACTATGCGCAGTTGATCCTTGGGGAGCTGGAAGCCGCGCTGCTCGCGCAGCCACTGCCCTCCCAGCCGAAGCTCAACCGGATGGAGGAGACTGGGAATGCCGATGCGGGCAAAGGCAAGGCCAAGGGAAAGGGGCAAAAGCCTTGTTGGGGGTGGTCGGATGGATCGGGCTGCAAGTATGGCCAAAACTGTATGTTTCGTCATGATTCACTTGGCCCTGGTCGTTGTTGGGTGTGCGGAAGCAGCAGTCATCTTAAGCCTCAGTGCCCGGTTGCCGGTCAAGAAGGGAATGGCTCTTCATCGACGGCTGCGGGAACGACGAGTTCTTCAACGGCGCCTTCTACATCTCCGGCACCTCCGGCTGGAAAAGGGGACCAAGTGCCAGAAAAGCCTGGAAGGAAGCCCCGGCGGAAAGGCGGTGGTGGAAAGGGCAGCAAAGATGCGATCAGAAAGGCCGAGGAGGATGGAGTCTCGACAGAGGGGGGAGCGACCAATGCAGCTCCTCAGGCATCGGCGACCTCGGCCCCGTCGAGTGATTCGGCAAGGGAGGATTTCTTTGAGGAGGCGGCCAAGGCACTGAAGTCTTTGAGGCTGGCCCGTGCCACGTTGGATCGGGTGGCTATGGTGGCGAATGGGCCTCTCAGGGCACTTGTGGATTCAGGTGCTACTACGTCAATGAGAACGGCGAGGCAGCGCGAAACCCAGGGACTACCTACTCGAAAAGTGCTATTGGCTGAGGGCGAGGCGAACTTCTACCAACTTCCGGGCGGAACGCTGCTGACGGAAAGGAGGACCTCACCTATCGTGGCGATGAGCGACCTGATGGAGATCGGCTGTAGGGTGTCATGGGACTCGGCCGAGGGCTGCTGCATCACCCATCCTGTTCGGGGATCTCTGGGTGTCCAGGTTGTGAACGGCTGTCCAGAGGTGGATGAGACTCTGGGATTGGAGTTGATTGAGGAGGCCGAGATCATCAAGAATCGTCGTCGTGAGGCGGAGCTCATGGTGAATCGGCTGGTCTTGGAATGCAGCCCGGAGCCAAAGCTGGACTGG